TTTTTTGTTTGTTTGTTTTTTAAAAAGCTAAAGTGGATCGAGAGAAATACTGTTAACTGATGGAGGGGATTATAATCATTGTAATGAAACAACATGTATGATTTGTTGAATGTAAAACTGATGATATGCCCTGTAAACTTCCACTCAATCCACAATAAAAATCTTAAATTTAAAAAAATGTAAATAAGGTACATGGCACCCTTGTTAGGATAGAACCATGTGAAGAAGGTATATGAACACTTACGGAGGGGATCGGTGGTTTTGACATCATGCTAGACTTTAAAATGAGCAATCCCAGAGGCAAAAAGGGAAGGCTTCACTACAATCAAAAAAGAAGAGTAGGGAGAGCAGCCCATCCTTTGGACCCCGGCGCACTGCCAGTCTCTCCTAGACTTGGAGACTACAGGCAGCAGAACTAGGAGATTGTTTTCCCCACCCCCTGATGCTAGAACTGAGCACCTGCAGGCAGGCTGCTTGCTGGCAGAATAGGGTGCCTCCAGGAGTTTGGCGGAGAAGCTAAAGAGTTTTGTAACAGGGAAGGAGGGTAGCCCAAAAGGCCTGAGGGGACCAGCCTGTGGACAAGGCTGAGAAGAGGCAATCCTGACTGAAAATTTGTACCCTGAGTCCTTCCTGAACCTAAATTGTAACCTGTTACACTTCCCTAATAAGGAGCCTCGGAAACCCTGTACAGGGTCGCTATGAGTCGCAACCGACTCCATGGCACATAACAACACACTTCCCTAATAAGATCGGTTTGAACCACAACGTCGTCGGTTCAAACTCACCAGTCTCTCCTCGGAAACCCTGTACAGGGTCGCTAAGAGTCGGAACAGACTCCACGGAACGTAAAACTTCCCTAATAAATCTCAAAATCTTCAGTACTAACCGTGAGTTCCGTGTGGCTACTGCAATGAATGACGGAACCACCGGCTCTCCTAATTTTTACCCATGGCCGGAGGGTATTGGAAGAAAACAAATCCAGTTCCGCCCTACATACTACAGGAGCTGCGCGGGAGACCCCAGGCGGGCCGCTGCAACTGCGTAGCTCCGGACCCAGACGGGCGAGGGCGCTGCTTACGTACCCGAGTAGACAGTGGTCGCAGACGACACCACAACTCCCCTTGCACACCGTGTACGCCAAGGGATCCGAGCTGAAGACGAGCTCTCCTGGACGCAACGCCGTCAAGGCGCGCAGCCCGTTTCCCCGGTTAGCAGTGCTGAACTTTTCCACCTTCTTGGGCTCCATCCTCTCGCAGTTCCCGCACCTCAGCCGTCTACCTTATCCCACGTTGCACCCGACTGCCCGAACCGCGCGCCTGCGCCCTGCGAGCACACAGAAGCCCGAAGGGCGGGGCGAGGCTGCCGATTTCTGAGCATGCTCAGACCGTTCGCTGGACTTCCCAGGGACCCAGAAGCTGGGACGTCTAGGAGGCTTGCTCAAGCCTGCTTCGCCGAGGATAGGTCGTGAGCTTTTCTTCTCCAGCTTTTTATTATAAAAATGTTAATGTTCAAGAGAAAGTTTAAAGAACCTCCACCTTTTATTGTTAGGTGCCTTCGAGTCGGTTCCGCCTCATAACGACCAAAATGAAACACTGCTGCCCTGCGCCATCCTCACAACTGTTATGTTTGAGGACATTGTTACTGCTACGGTGTCAATCCATCTTGTTGGGAGTCTTCCTCTTTTTAAATGACCGTCAACTTCATCAATCATGATGTCCAAAACAGATTTTTTCCCCCATGGTTCTTTTAATATTTTTCTCCAACACCGTAATTCAAATGCATCCATTCTTCTATGGTCTTCCTTATTCACTGTCCAACTTTCACATGCATATGTTGTTGTTAGGTGCCATCAAGTCAGTAGCGACTCATAGCAACCCTATGCACAACAGAAGGAAACACTGCCCGGTCCTGGGCTAACCTCACAATGGTTGCCACTTTGCCAATCCATCTTGCTAGGGGTCTTCCTCTTTTTCTCTGACCCTCACTTTATCAAATATGATATCCCTTTCCAGGGACTGGTCCCTCCTGATCATATGTCGGAAGTATGAGAGACGAAGTTTGGCCATCCTGGCCTCCAAAGAGCACTCTGGCTGCACTTCTTCCAACACAGATCTGGTTGGTTCTTTTGACAGCCCATGGCACTTTCAATATTCTCCTCCAGCACCATAACTCAAAAGTATCAATTCTTCTACAGTCTTCCTTATTCACTGTCCATGCATATGAGGTTACTGAAAATACCATGGCTTGGGTCAGGTGCACCTTACTCCTCAAGCTGATAGCTTCAACACTTTAAAAAGGTCTGTGCAGCAGATTTGCCTGATGCAATATGTCGTTTGATTTCTTGACTGCTGCTTCCATGAGTGTTGATAGTTGATCCAAAAAGAATGAAGTCCTTGACAACGTCAATCTTTTCTCTGTTGATCAGAATGTTATTGGTCCAGTGGTGAGGATTTTTGTTTTCTTTACGTTGAGATGCAATCCATACCGAAGGCTGTGGTCTTTGATCTTCATTAAATACTTTGTGAGTTGCTGTGATTCTGGAGGCTATTCCATGGGTATTTTAAATACCAGCAGGGTCACCTATGGTGGACAGGTTTCAGATGAGCTTCCAGACGAAGACAGACTAGAAGGAGTGACGAACTACTTTAGCATATTTAGTCACTGAAAACCTTAGAATAGCAGAGAAACTTACATATGAGTCTATCGAAAATACCATGACTTGTCAACTCAATCCTTAAAATGACCACTTTAAAGAGATCTTTTGTAACAAATTTGCCTCCCATGACAGCTTCAATCTTTTCATTTATCATGATGTTATTTATTGTTCCAATGTGCGGATTTAGTTTTATTTACATTGAGTGCAATCCATACTGAAAGCTGTAGTCTTTGATCTTCATCAAGTACTTCAAGTCCTCTTTGATTCCAGTAAACAAGGTTGTATTATCTGTATATCGCAGGTTGTTCCTGGATCTTTCTCCAATCCTGAAACCACATTTTTCTTCATGTAGTTCAATTTCTCAAATTATTTGCTCTGCATACAGATTGAATTAGGATACAACCCTGATACACACCTTTCCTGATTTTTAAACCATGCGGTATCCCCCTTGTTCTGTTCAAACAACTGTCTTTTGGTCTATGTGCAGGTTCCTCATGAGCACCATTAAGTGCCATTTCTGTACTCTCTTTTTCTCCCTTTCCCCTCTATGTGTATGTAGGTGTATGTGTGTGTTTAGATACACATATGTTGTTGATGGCAGACATCATACTATTTCATAATTAATACTTTCCATGGTAACATTGGAGTCCTGGTGTGGCTTTGTGGATTAATGTGCTGTACAACAAGATTGGTTTGAACTGCAAGGTTGTCAGTTGAAACTCACCAGCCACTCCTGGGAAACCCTACACATGGTCGCTATGAGTCAGAACTGAGTTGATGGCACTTAACAACATAGTAACATTGGGAGTGCTGGTGTGTGCTGTAGGATAAGTACTGGACTGCAAGCAGCAAGGTTGGTGGTTCAAACCCACCAACTACTTCTCCTGGGAAACCCTATCTAGGGTCACTGTGAGTCAGAACTGACTTGACAGCAATGGTACCATTTCATAATTAAATACTTCAGCATGCACTTCCTCATAGTAAGAACAATATTCTATAAATCCTACACTATGCACTATAGGAAGGAGATCTGGTAGCATAATGGTTACGAGTCGGGATGCCAACCTCAAGGTCAGCAGTTCAAAACTACCAGTGTTTCCACAGGAGAAAGATGAGGCATTCTGCTCCTGTAAAGATTTACAGCCTCGGAAACCTTGTGCAGGGTCACTATGAATCGGAATCAACTCCACAGTACTTAACAACAACAATAACATGCACTATAGGATATGCACTGGATTGTTAACCTTGAGGTCAGTAGTTCCTCTAGAGAAAGATAAGGTGTTTTACTCCTGTAAGATTTACAGCCTCAGAAGCCCTACTGTGAGTTGGAATCGACTCATTGACCGTCGGTTTGGCTTTTTTGGCTTATCCTACATTATCATTGTACCTAAGTAATTAACAATTCTATAACATCAGAAAAAAATCCATATCCACTGTAAGAATGCCTCTCCTGAGTTCTTTTTAAAAATTATGATCCAATCAAAGTTCACATATTTGCTTTTTGATAACATTGATATTTTAAGAGTCCAAGGGACTCAAAAATATTCTATGGAGACCTTTCCATGAAGGCTTAAACAGAACAGAGACAAAAACAATTGTCCGAATGACGGAAGCCATCAGCATGCACTCAGAACAGAGGCCAATGAAATCTGATGAATCACACTCATGTTCATTATATGTGACAGAAGAAAGAAAAAACTACAACTAGATCATCATTGGTACCAGGTCAATTATTGGTCACATGTATGTCTCATTAGTTCATGTCCTTTATAAATTGAATTATTTGTTTTCTTGTGTGGCATTGAAGTATTTTATAAATTTTAGAAAGTAGTCCCTTATCTGATATGTTTTTTTCCCTAGTCTGTAGGTACTCTTTTCAGTCGTCCAGTGAAATCTTTAGATGCACGTAAGTGTGTATCTTTTAAGAAGCTCCAGTCATCTATTTTGTCTTCTGCTGTTTGTGTGTTGTCAGTTATGTTTAATAGTGTATTTAGACTATTTTTTTATTCGTGATCTTTATAGGTCTAGGTTTCACAGTTAGGTATTTAATTCTCATTGAGTTCATTTTGTATATGATATGAGATATAGGTTTCTTCTACAAAAGAAGTACCAGTTTTGCCAGCACCATTTGTTGAAGAGAGTATCTCTTCCCCGATTTATGTATCTTGGCCCTTTGTCAGTGATCAACTGTCCGTAAGTGGATGATTTACTTCTGGATTCTCAATTCTGTTTCACCGTTCTATGTGATTCCCATTGTATCAGTACCATTCTGTTTTGACTACTGTAGCTTTTTAATAGTTTTTGAGATCAGAAAGTGAAAGGCCTTCTAACTTATTCCACTTTTTTAGTAATGCTTTGCTTATCTGAGGTCTTTTTACTTTCCATATAAAATTTGTTGTTAAGTGCTGTGGAGTAGGTTCTGATTCACCGAGACCCTGTATTGGGTTTCCAAAAAGTGAATTTGAACTGCCAACCTTTTGGTTCAAAATGACCCAGCAGTCCAGTACTTATCTTACAGCCTGACACTAGGACTCCCCATAACCAGTTAATGATTAATTTTTAAAGAATGATGTTGAAATCTGGATTGGAATTGCAATATAGATAGAGATTGCATTAGATAGTGTTGACATTTTCACAGTGTCAAGTTTTCTTACTTAAAATGGTGTATTCTTCCATTTTTGTTGGTTTCTTGTAGTAGTGTTTTATAGATTTTTTGTATAAGCATTTTGGTTTTCAGCTTAGATTTATTCCCAAGTATTTCATCTTTTGGGTAGATATTGTAAATGATATTGTCTTCCTGATTTCTTTTTCACAGCTTTCTTTATTGTTGTAAAGGAATCCAACTGATTTTTGTATGTTATCTTCTACCCAGCCACTTTGCTAAATCTTTTAATGATTTCTGATAATATTCTTGCTGAGCTTTTGGGATTTTCTTTTTATAGGATCATATCATCTACAAATAGAGAGAGTTTTAATTCTTTGCCAATTTGAATGCTTTTAATTTCCCTTTCTTGCCTTATAGCTCTGGCTAAGACTCCCAGAACAGTGTTATAAAGGAGTGTTGTGATAAAGATGACATCTTTGATGGTTCCTATTCACAAGAATAGCTGTAAGTTTCTCTCAATTCAGAAAGATGTTGCCTATGGGTTTTGTATATGTGCCCTTAATTATATGGAGGAATTTCCCTTCTATTCCTAAAGTATTTAGTGTTTTTATGAGAAATGAGTGACAGATTTTGTCAAATGATTTTTCTGCATCAGTTGATATGATCATGTGGTTTTTATCCTTTGTTTTATTTATGAGGTGGATTACATGGATTGTTGTTCTAATATTGAACCATTCTTGCACACATGGTATGAGTCACACTTGGTCATAATGTTTTCATTTTTAGATACATTGTTTTTAACTCTATTTGGTGGAATTTTGTTAAGAACGTTTGCATCTATGTTCATGAAGGATGTTGGTCTGTAATTTTCTTTTTTAGTGATGTCTTTGCCTGGTTTTGCTATCAGGGTTATGCTTGCTTCATAAAACAAATTCAAGAGTTTTCCTTCTTTTTCTATATTCTGGAATAGTTTGCATAGAATTGGTGTCAGCTCTTTGAATGGTAGAATTTACCAGTAAAGCTATCTAGGTCTGGACCATTTATAGTTGGGAATCTTTTAATGACTTGATAAATTTCCTATTTTGTTATAGGTGT